GCACGCTGTTTGGTTGTCTTGCTTATGGTTAAGTGTGTAATTTAATAATACATTGATTTGCAAGATTGTCATGGATGTAAAACTTTTCAGGAGATCCAAAAAGAGACACTTGAATTATGAATTCCATTTTAATAACAAAAAAAGGCAAAATAAATAAACAATTATTGCGCAGTTAGCTAGGTCGGTTCATCTTTTCTTAGCCAACTATATGCTCCGAAACAAGCATTCTAGTAAAGAAAATTATGCATGAATTAAGACACAGAAACACATCAGAAGGCCAAAAGGAAGCTACAATTATGCTATAGATGTTATACACGTATTAGGTTGAATTCCATCGCCCTTTGATTTCATATTATTAAACACTATAAAGATTATTAGAAGAAATTCTTATCTTATACTATATAAAAATGAGTTGAGGTCAAAGGGTGTTTGAATTTCAACTATATGGATAAGAGTTTTTTGGGAATGTGGAATATTGTATAGTTTTTTTAAAATTTTTTGTACAACTGAGGGCAGCGTGTATTTATATATATTTATCGAAATGTCCTCATTTTTGTACATTTAAAGTTTTGATTTATGGAGACATCTGGGTATTTTTTGGAATATGAAATTATTTTGTAACTATTTTTGCAATGAGTACAACTCATATAAATTTATGTGTTGGTATAATTACTGAAATGGTGCTATAAACACATTTAATTGAAGTGTGACTTTTGTTGTACAATAAATATAAAGACATATTAACAGGTTGTGCAATTAACACATTGCTATAACTAGCCATTGGAGGATATTTCTTTATCTGAAACAATTTATGTCTACTCTTGGGTGATTTTCAACTAACATCTGTAGAGGTCTTTTGGAAATGATAAAATTGTAAAAGCAATGATAAAGGAAAGTGTATAAGTGTGTGCTGCAATTAAATTGTACTATTATTGGATTTGTCATATTGAATGACTATTTCTTTTTAAAATATATTATTATTTATCCAATGAAAAACCCTATCTAATCACAGGTACCAAACACCCGCGCCATGCGTGGGCACTCGCCCTAGTCGGTCTTTGATGAAAAGCACCAATGACGGTTCTAAACGTGTTTAGTAGAAAGTCTTCGTGGAAACTAATAGAAAACCATCAACTAAATGTTTGGTGGAAAAGGAGACAAATCGACGAGACGACTTGAAGTCTTCATGGAAACCTGTAAAACATTATGACAGAATTGTTAAGCATGGTTCCAAATATTTGTTGGATAAAGTGACAAATCGACGAGATGACTTGGAAGTCTTCATGGAAACTTGTAACATGAACACAGAATTGTTAAGCACGGTTCTAAATGTTGCTAGAAAAGGTCGCAAATCGACCAAACGACTCGAAGCCTTGGTTGAAGGTTCAAAACTGCAGATCCTATCAATTAAGTTAGAATATGACTTACAACGGCCCATCTCCTACCCCTTTCTTAAGGTCATTAATAGAGGTTTTCAATTGAATAACCCCAATATCAGGGTTAAAAATTCAATACTTCACACATTCAACTGGTAAGATGTGAAACAGTGACTTTGACATAAGCAACAACCTCAATACATTACTAAGACATTAAAAATGACATAGAGTAGAATGGCCATTACCAAGACTAACATTGAGTATGAGATTACGTGTGTTACACGTCCGTCTTAGGTACTATGATTTGTGATACTTATTCAAGTAATCATTCTCTTGAGATCAATTTTAAAAAAATTTAATTGATTAAAAGTGTTGTATTGATATCAATCTTCTTTTTTGATAAATCATGTAAAGTACTTTGTAAGTTAATTTTTTTTTTTAACGAAACTTAATTAATTGTATGTCTTGGAGAGAATCTGAGGGAAAAAAACAATATACATGTAATTTCAAAAATAAAAGAAAAAGAATATACTGAAGAAGGCAAAAAAAAGGAAAAACTTTTCATTACATGCCAATGGATATAACTGTCTAGTCTCTTATTGTTTGATAAAAGAATTTAATAGCCCGTTCAATAACTTAACTATATTTGATCACTAAATTTGATTACCAATAGTCTAAATCGAAATACTTTGCTCATGTCTGACAACATTTTAAGTGTGGACGTGGAAAGCAAATTAGAAACCATGCTCATTTTTGTCCTCCGATTAATTCAATAACAAGGTTCTTTTTTTTTTTCACAGGCATTTTACACTTCATAAAATGCTGAATTCCTCTCATGTAGGTTGTATGACTCTACCAAAATTTAAAATTTAATATAATGCATTGATTTAATATTATGTATGTACTAATTTTAGTTTTTTTTTATCCCCACATTTTTTTTATTAATGAAAAGATATACAAAACATAAACTCCTCTTACATACGTCTAATTTTCCGAATTGAAGGCAACCCTAATCTGTCAAGGCGAATTGCCCCACGAGCTTCCCTTGGAAACGTACTAAAGCTGTCATATACCTTGACTTGTTGTTGTGGGTGAGATACACCCACATTAGACAACGCATCAGCAACTGTGTTAGCCTCTCGATAGCAGTGTAAAAAATGAACAGGTTCCTGCAAGAGCTTCCAAATCTGCCTAACCTCCCTTTGAATGTGCCACGGACATTGAATGCGACGTTGAATGATCCCAACTAAGAGCAATGAATCAGATTGCAAACTTATATTTTCAAATCCCCTATGTTTACATGTTTGAAGAGCAATAAGGAGGGCCCAAGCTTCTGCACGGAGAGATGTAGTTTGTCTAAGATAGGCCGAAAAGGCAATCACTGGTAAACCAGTTGGATCCCGAAGAACTCCTCCACCTCCACCCACTCCTGGATTACCCTTAGAACATCCATCCGTATTAAGTATGAACCGCCATGTCTCCTTTGTCTCCCAGCGAACAAATTTGTATGCAACCGTACCGGCCGACACGTTCGATCGATCATACAACTGACAAAAAGATTGGAGTTGAAACACTTGTTTGAAGTGGATCCCCACCATGGACTGTATTTCCAAGAAAATATGATGACAAATAGCAGACGATTGCATCTGAACACCCTCAAACACTGCTTTATTCCTTGCCTTCCAAATCTGCCAACAAACTATACTAGGTAGAATGCGATCAATAAACCGTCGTGTCTTAGAATCATGTAACCGCAACCACCACCCTACTATGCGGGGCCGCAAAGAAGATCCTGGACAGCTGAATCCACATAAACCTCCAAAATAGTTCCAAATTGCCGACGCTATTTGTCCATTGGCAAATAAATGCACGATAGACTCCGTAGATGCTGAAGAACAACAAAAGCACTTTGAGGGTAGATGAAAACCATGTTTACATAACCTATCCGATAGCGGTAGCCTTCCCAGAAATAGTTGCAACATGAAGAATGAGACTTTCCAAGGAATCCGAGGATGCCAAATCGAAGCAAAAACCGTCGACTTGTGGCGACAAGGTTCAAAGATATTAAGATACAATTTAAAGAGTCATAATGGTTTCTTTTTCTTCTATGGCCCATGTTGCAAAACTTTCTTCCCTATTTCCTATGTGAAATTACTCTACTTTTTATGTATATTTGTCAAAATATAGATTTTCTTCTTGTTCATAAATCTCAAAGTATGCTTTTATAAATGGCTATCTAAATATACTAGAGAAATTTCTAAAATTATGATGATTTTTAAAAAAATTCTACAAAGGGGGCATTTTTTGTATGGAATTCCGTCAAGGGGGTCTTCGCATTCAGCAAATGCGAGCTCCTTGAACTCGCATTTGCTGAATGCGAGGACTCCCTGAATTTTCCTAGCATCCAAATCAAAAAAGAAAAAGAAAAAGAAAAACAGACCTCGCATTTGTTAAATGCGAGGTCATATACCTCGCATTTAACAAATGCGAGGTTCTCGCCCAGGCAACTCAGCTCGCATTTAGCGAGCATTGTGACGAAAGAAGCCCCTGGTCTAGTGAGCATGAGCAAGCTGCAATTTTACATAAAAAGGCTGCTCAAACAATTGACATAAGTTAGAAGCCATGCGTGTTTCATCATGCCAGTGATGAAACTGGAGCCAAAATTCACTATTTACCATCTTCAAATTATTTTCAAGAACATTAATCTAGATTTTGCCATGATTTTTTTTTTGCTTCAGTTCCAATGCAGGCCTTCCCTTGCTTTATGATTTCACTACAAATTATAAAATGATTTACAATTTGCAATGAAAATCTCTACAAATTTTACTACCTAAGGCTGTAAATTCATCAAAATTGGAAAAAAAAAGATCCCATAATATTGCCATCAATACTTGATAATAATTTGGGGCAATAAATCTTAACCGAACTAGTATGCTTTCGACTTTATTGTATCTCACATCCGATAAAAGCGAATTCCTAAAAAATTATATTCAAAATTTTTTTTAATTAGGAGCACACAATCATTTTTGTTTTTGCATTGACATTTATCATAGAGGAATAAATCCTTTTTATTTGAAAACTCACACGAGTTAGAAGTTAACAAATGTGAGGTCTCAGTACAAAATTTGATGTACTAGTAATTCTTTGTATATAAATAACCAAAAAGTTATATTTCTTATAGATTAAAAGATTTGATAATCATACGGTTGAAAACACCTAATTTTATTATTAAATAATTTTGTAAAGAAATAACTATACATGTATAGTTCTTTATGCGGTTGGAAACAAGCTTTGGCTTTGTGTTCAGATTGAGGTCCTCGCATTTGCGAAATGATTATTTATCAAATGATTATTATGTGATTATTTATCTTATAGATTAAAAGATATACTTTCCTATAAATGCAAAAATTATAATCACATAATAATCATTTTCAAATTAAATGAGAAAAAATGTTCCCAAACCACATATATTTATTTCACTAGGATATTTGAAAAACATTTTATTTGTTTATTGTAATTTATTATGATTAAATATATATATAAATTTTTTTGGGAAAAATTTTGACAGAATCTCCCCTTAAAAGTGGACTAAACTCCCTGCCAGCAAACCCAAAATAGACAACATTTAATCCAAGCAATATTTCCAACAACTTGTCAGCCAATAATCACAAACCACTGCAAAAGCACAAGTCTTTAGTAAATTAAAAAACAGAAAAAGTAAAATCAAGTTAAACATCCAACATTCCACAGATTAAAAACAAAATGCAAGCAAATCCATGTACAAATAATATAGTGATCCTAATGGTGCAGCTTCAATCGTCATCTTCATCTGCAGCTCCACCCTGAGGTGGAGTAATGCCTAAATGATCATCTATACGTGCCAAGCGAGTGTCCATTCTCTGCAACTGGAAAAATAAATTAGAATTAGTAGCACAAGACTATGGTACAAATATTTTAGTAGTACAAGCAAATGTGATACATGCTTGTCTTGTATACATATTTTTAGTTAATATTTTAAGTTAATATTCCCTCTAACCCCCTATACATTATTACGCATCATGCCAAAATGTTATTCAAGAATTCCTAATTAAATTGAATATAAGTTTATTAAATACATGCTTATCTTGTTTTATTTAACGTTTCCAAGCACCCCCCTTTCGAGTCCATATTGTAGCCAATTTGTCTTATTATACTCTTAACGCAATCACTAACCAAAAACACCCAAAAATATTTTAAAAAAATTTTGACAGAGTCTCCCCTGTAACTGGCTAAAACTCCCTGCCAACCAACATAGGCACATCGATTTTCAAACAATTGAGAAATATGAGATAATTTAGACCACTACAAATACGGTAGAATAATGTGATATACAATAATTTCTTATAGAAGACAAGCAACTGTGATATTTTGACAAACCTACAATAATAATATAATGTATATAGTAGAAGGTGAAACAACAATAATTTCTTATATTCCCCTGTCCTCCTTGAAACATGCAATTAAAAAATATACTACAGTAGAGGGTCTCACTTTACATTCATGAATTCACCATAAAACGAATCCAAGCAAAGTTCAAAAAATTAGAACATTAATATGACTACAATTAAATCTACTTGTAAACTACATGACTTACCCAATGCGAGTCTAACAGTTTATGCTCTTTACCAATTCCTTCACACATATTAACAACTTAAGAGTTTATATTTATCTCATTATTTGTTCATCCTTTGTAAAACTCTTTTTCCTTTCTCTTGATGCCAAGGAGTAAATCATGATGATTACCTTTTCTTGTTTTTATCTTTTTTTCAACAATTCTATAAAATGCAGATGTAAACAATAAAGTTAAAAAAAATAATATCCTCCATGAAGAAAAATTTGAACGCTAAAATTTCTTATATGAAAGCTTGGTATGATAGAAGAAGAGCTATTGAGCTTGTTTATGGCATTTCGGGTACCAATTTTGTTGAATTACTCAAGTATGTGGAAGCATTTGTCCAATTAAGTAATATTAGTCTATACTTAAAACACCCTTGTTGCAGAGTCTATACTTACAATGTGTCATCAGATGCTACCAGAGAAGCATGAAATTGATTTGATCATGACCAAGGAACTATGCGATTCATAAGTAGAAAATGTCAACACCCTCCTCAGTCTAGGCCTATTGATCAGTGAGATTAAGAATGAAAGCATAAACAATTTGAATTTCTGCTCATGAGCCATGCTAATGACTTGTGAGCAGGAAGTTCCCTGTTATTTGCCTAGCATCATAGCTACATATTGTGCATATATCAATGATTTCAAGTTTGATAATAAGTTGTTCTTTGCACTCTAAGATTCTTGAAAGTAGCCATTCTATCTTGTTGTCTAGAAAATCAGACCTTGTTGCAGCATATAGGTCGGGGACTGCAAGTATAGTCTGTTTTACTACAAAATCTGTAGTACTTGCCTGATTTTTACTAACAACTCTGTGACATAGATATTGTTGCATTCATCCTATGTAACACAGACACTATTGCTGCATGCTATGCACACCATCTTCTTCATTAGTATTCTGATATTGTTGGAGGTGTGGAATAATCACCGGGGAGGACCAAAATTAAATGCTTTGACTGTTTGATTTGTAAATTTATCATTTTTCTAGTAAAACATTTTGCAGTGTTTTGGAAAGTTCAATGCACATACTATTGTATTAGTCCACACTTTTATTTTTCTCCTCCACTGAAGTTATAAGTTGTTAACTAAAACAAGAAGAAGAAGGTGATTGACCACTTTGGTCTGCTTTTGAACACTGACTAGACCAACATCATTCTCTTCCTACAAAAAGACCATTTGCTGGGAAGGAGATGGTTCACTTACTCACCTTGCGTTCTACACAGTATGATTGCTCTGAAAACCGACTTTCATCAACTACAACACCATCCTTCACTTCTCGGTTGTATGCAATTGAGGCCATAGAAGATGTTACTACCACTCTTTTGACAGATGAAACTCTTGCACATGATTGTAGCACATTCAGAGTTCCCTTTACCGCAGGGTCCAACACTTCTGCCTAAGAAATGAAGATAGAAATACTAGTCATTGAAGGCAATTAACTTCAAGGCAACAGTACGTTCTTGCTCCACAACAATCATCATATAAGCATTCATGCTCTTTCACATTCAGTGGAGATCTAAAATTTTTTCCACTCAATTTGATCCCTTCACACGGTAGCTGATATTCAAACCAAATTGAAGATACCCATGAAAGTAATTACTTAAACAAGTTTGAAATTTGGTCTTCGATAGACTATAATTCCATACAAACATCTCTAGAAAAATAAGTACTTTGAACAGAAAAAAAGAGAGAGAAAATAAATGATGAAAACAAAGAAAAGGAGGGATAATCGTATGACTCTGCAAAAAGATTTCAGTTTAAAACAGGAGCGCTCAAAATTGCAGCAAATCACTGAATTGGTTTGGAAAAATTATCCTGTTGAGGTTGTATCCTGTTGAGGTTGTAAAAATGGCAAATTGGGAGGAGGGAGAGAGGGGCAGCTAGCTAGCAGAGATGGGTTCCCAAAGAGGAAGCTCTGCAATGGGCGAGAGCTTCCAATGCTTCCGATGAGAGCTTTGGATGAGAAAGTGCCGCCGCCAGATTTCGCTTGAGGAGAAATGCTGCAGCTCTACAAAATAGAAGAGCTTCCGACGAGAAGGCCGAGAGATTCCGACGACAAAGCTGTGACCAAGATTTCCGATGAGAAAGCGGCGCCCAAGAGAAGAGAAAGTGAGGAGTGAGCTGGACGGAGAGAGTGAAGGGAGAGTGAGACAGACTTGAATGCCGAAATTGGGAACTTTGTTTGTGTTCAGATTGAGTACCTCGCATTCAAGAAATGCGAGGTATCTCAGCTCGCATTCTCCAAATGCGAGCTTAATAAGCTCGCATTTGGAGAATGCGAGCTTATTTTTCTTTTTTTTTGGAAACACTTACCTCGCATTTGTGAAATGCGAGGTATCTGAACTCGCATTTCACAAATGCGAAGATCACATTTGTGGAATTAACTTCACAAATTACCTTCTTTGTAGAATAACTTTTTTTTTTCATCACAATTTAAGAATTTTCTCAAATATACTATGAGAAAATAGTATCCTAATTTTTTGTTAGTAATTCCCCTCTAATTCCTATGAAGAAGGAAAACCAATTTCCAATCAATTCTCCACCCATAAAGAAGTATATATTTCATTTATTTCCAATCAATTCTACACCAAAAAGCAGTATATACTTTATTTCTATCATTGTCATGTATTATGCCACCTGACCAAATTATTGGGTACAATTGATCATAAAAAAGATTTGTAGACATTTTAACTTGTACATCCACTAGCTTATGGAATGTGCACATTCACTTATAAAGCTGAATCTTTTTTGTGAATACGGATGCTAGCAAACCAGGCTTTAATTTCTTGGTACAGTTGTTATAGAAAACTTAAAAAACTTGATTGTTGATAGAATTTGCTATCATGTTTAATTTCCTTAACTAAAGAATATTGACTCATTTAAGAATCATTAGAAAATTCACTATGGATTATTAGGGAATTCAGAGGTCGTTAGTTGGAGCTGAGTGGTCCTTTTTTCTTTAAATATTTTTCCTAAATTATTCTTTTGCCATGATATTACTATTAATAAATAATTACTATTGTTTTGTGTTAATGGCTAGTAGCCCATGTTGTGGACTAGAATAATAACCTTTATATTTCATGCTTCTAATTTGATAAAGTATTTCTTCAACTATGGACCAATGTATATGAATGGGTTCACTAATAGTTAATCTGAAATTAGATTTAATCTGAAATGTATAGGGTATGTTTGGTTCCCTATGAAATTAGGATTTAGAATTGGAATTGGGGTCCTAATTCCAATTCCATTGTTTGGATTCTGCTTCCCTCACATAATTAGAATTGAATCTGAATTCTATAGGAGTCCAATTCTATGAATTGAATTCTTTACTCGATCAAAAGAATTCTAATTCCGATTCCACAACTAAATGGGTTCACACGCGGATCTAGTATGGGTCAAAAATTAAAATCGGGTCAAAGGATATTGGCACCCCTTTCTACCTATCTAACTCACCATTTTCCTCAGCCGCTAGTGCTCTGCTCTCCACCATCACTTCCACCTGCAACCCTAATATCTTACCTTTCCCACCACCGTCTTCCCCCCTGCCTTCCATTTCTCTGGCCACTTCCTCCATCCTTCGCCACTCTCGCCACTCGTCCACCCCAAATTTCAGACACATTTAGGGCTTGTGAGACACCCAGGAAGGATAATGCGAACGCAAAGTTGACCTCCAACAGCAGAGGAACACCTTTTGGTCTCTGAGATTTTGCCGCTACTATTGCCCCGAATCGAAATGGCCTGTGCGGAACTTTGAGCCTAAAGATGTACTAACACATGGCAACCTCGAATAGAGTACCAGTGGTTCGAGCTAAACACCCATCATATTAAGGAAATAACAAGCCAAGTTGGTAAGAGTTGTTTCTTAATTTTTCCAGCATCAAAATAATCTACTATCAGAATAATCTTTTAATCTTTCCAGCATCTTTCTAGCACATAATTATTTTTTGCTTAAAAAAAAATGAAAATTATGATTAGCCAAGAAGGGAAGGGAAGGGAAGGGAAGAGAGGGGGGGTTTGGTTTGGTTGATAACGAAACCAATTCTATAACCTGTTGCCCGCAGAAAGCTATTTGGGACGCCATCTTGAACAACAGGGCAGTTCAGGATCTCTGGGGCTCAATCTCTGCAGGTCATATGCAAGAAATTTATTTGACAAAATTTTCAAAATATATACGTTTATTCCCCTGCCTCCTCTGTATGATTAATCATACAGAGTCATTTACCTCAGCAACAATTCATCCTACTAGGAGTCTTTTAGATAATTTGAAGAATTCTAGGGTGAAGTTTTATAATTCATATCTGTTCATTGCTTAAAATAAAAGCTTTCTAAACCTTGTTTGAACTTCCTGTATTGCCTGACAAAGGCCAGAGACATGTTTAGCTAAAGCTTGCCTGCACTTGTGCTTTACAATGGTTGCTTGTCTTCAATTTATAGAGCACTTTATCTTGTTGTCTTGTTGTTTCTTTTCTTAAAGGAAAAATTTGCTGTCGGGTCAGGGCCTGAAAATTTTTTATGTATCGTCTCAAGGCTGCTAACTTCTCGTCAATGGACATGGAATGTGATGAATGTGTGTTTTGGACTATTTAATGCTGTCATAAATTCTCACACACACTCTCTCTTAACGTACATTTAAATGTGTTTGATTGTTCCTAATATGTTACAGGAAGGCTTGTTTAACCTTGTCCTGCATTAAAGTGAGGTCGGTGCATTCTTCTTGATAGCAAAGTTGCGGGCTGACATGAAGTTGGACATGCTTAAAGGCTGAAGATCGTCACTCCAGTCTTCCTTGTATGTGTGGTATTTATAAAGGTATTTATTTTCAAGTGCTTCGAATGCTGTGAATAGGTTTTTTGATGTGAAAATTATAGCTCTATCTCTGGCTTTCATATTTCAACTATTGAGCCTGGTAATAATGGTTCAATTTTGACACTAACTAGAACAGTTGTCCTGCAGTTCTTTGGTGTATGTTTCTCTATATAATCAATTGTTAAGCATATTTTAAAGCTTATGGTTATCACAGTATTCTTAATGTGGTGTAACATGAATGCGTTATTGGTAGGAAGTGCAATTAATCTCCCAATCTGGCCTTACTCTGACATATTTGTAGCAAAATAGGCAGGAATAATACCAAAGTTTCTGGCTTTTTTTAAGAAGCTTTGGTGTGCTTGTTATCCAGTTGGGCCTTCCCTGCAATTCATTGCTAGTTAGGAAATTGTAAATAGCTATCTTTATCTCACACACACACACATATAGAGGAGTTTCAAGGGGAAGATAATTAATCTTTTGTTTTGTAACTCGCAGAATTGAGTGTAATAGTTTCCCAAGCTTATTTTCCAAGGCAAAGTGGGCAGTACCAAATCGAAACACTAACCTGATCATAGCAATGAATCACAGAAGCTAATAATTATGTTTACCAACAACTTGCACAAACTAATGAATTACAAAATTGTAATACTAAAGCTAATTCCTAAGCGATCTCTAAAGTATTAAAGGTGTATAAGCCAATATATTTGTTTCTGTCAATAGTTGTATTCACAAGCTGTAAATGTAATATTTCACGAAAGGCAAAAATATTATTGCAGATTATTATGTCAGAGGTTTATTTAGCTATCATTTTAGCTTCAATTGACTATGTAGAATTTAACACAGACTCACTTTTTAAAATTTGGTCTTTTGACTTACCTTTTCTTATTGTTGTCGTGATTTTGAATTGCAGAATTTGGATATTGACATCGATAAGGAAGGAGACGAGCAAAAAACAAAAAAGAGAAAAGTGGTAGTTGCAAATTATATGGTAACAGTAGCCACATTAGTAGTTTGGTGGCATGAGAAACATATAGTAAAGGAGCCATATTTGGACTTTAAAGTAGCACATGAAATATATCTAAGGCGTCTTTACTATGGAAACAATAGAGTTTGTGTAGAGCAATTTCGACTCAATAAACATTGTTTTACTATTTTATGTACAAATTTAAGAGAGCATTGTGGGTTGAGGGATACTAGAAATATTACTGTTGAAGAAGCAGTTGCAATGTTTCTCTATGTTCTTGCTCATAACTTTAAGAATCGCACTGTCAATTTTAATTTCATAAGATCAGGTGAGACAGTTAGTCGATACTTTAATATAGTTCTACGTGCTATCATAAAATTGGGGAAACAATATCTTATCCAGCCTGAAACGGAAATGGAAGGTTACGAGCATGAAAAGTGGGAATGGAAGCAATTTTTTATTTAATATAATTTAATTAAAAAAAACAAGAATTTTTTTTTTTTTGCAGAAAAGGAACTTATTTGTTTTTTTTTCTTTAAAGCTTTAGTAACAATTAGTTAAATGCAAGAAAAAATAAATTATTAAAGGCACTAATTGGCTTTTTCCTTAAAGCTTTAGTAACAATTAGCTAAATGTTAAAAAATTATTATATAGTAAAAAAAAAGAAATTTTTTATGTAAGGAAATGTTAGTTGGAAACAATTCTAATTTTTAATGAATTCTTCTCCCATCCAAACAAAGAATTTGGAATTCTAAATGAATTTTGTATCAATTCTATGTATTTCCCAAACAAAAGAATTTCAATGTTTTGGAATTCCAATTCATGGAATTCTAATTCTATAGAATTCCAATTCCAATTCAATTCCAATTCTGTTGAACCAAACGCACCCATAATGTTTTTCAAGCTAAAATTCCCGAGTATAGAGAGAGTGTACATACGTACATATACAGAGGGACCTCTACATTTATCCGTGCATTTGACTAATGCGGTGACGCAAGGCTGAATTCAAAGTTGTAATTTGTAACTTCCATGTGGCATTCATTTATTCTAGAACAAGACCCATTCATAGATCAGATTTTTGGACTGGAAAATGAATCAATCGCTTAACTGATGATTACTTTTGCTCAACTTGACATAATTCATAATACTTCATATAATTAAAGCTCTTTTTCTTATTTCTTTAAAATCAATATCATATAACTAAACCACCTGTTTGATTGATGAGTTTTGCTGGGATGGCAACGGGGCAGGCACCCGCGGGCACCGACCCCGCGGGGGGTCATTGGGGCAGGGGCGGAGGGGAATTTCTTTCCCCCCGTTTAGAAACGGGGCACCCCCGTCCCGCCACCCGTTTGAATATATATATGTACATAATTATATATATAATGATATTATCAATTATACTACTAATTATACATGTTTATTAATAAAAATTATTAATTATTTATACTAAATTTATTAATACATTTATGTTAAATTCTTAACTATACTTAATACAATAACACTTTTTTCTAAAAAAAACACAATAATAATTTAGTGATTGTATTTGTATCAAAAATGAAAACTTGATTATTTTAGTTATATTTGTTTTATCATATTAGATTGTATTCAAATAACCTTTGTTTAATTATTTTTATGAGTTTTAATTATGAAGTTACAATGAATAATAATTTGGTGATGTGTTGATATTTTAGTACTTGATTATTTACTCAAATTTAATTATAATAAAATTATATAATAAAATTTTTTTAGCCCCACTAGTGCCCCGGGGAAAGCGGGGCCAGGGCGGGGGAAGCGGGGGCAGGGGCGGGGGGAATTAAAATGCACCTCCGCCCCATTGCCACCCCTACACCCTTTTTTTTTTTGGTTGCCTGCCACGGTATCCAGGGCTTTGCCCTGACTAATCCGTTGGTCGACCCGGGTCGCACACCTGGCTGTGGTGGGTGAGTCTCCCAACAAGGGTAGCTGCATACGCCAAGTTTCGAACCCGACCCCTACACCCTTTAATGGGAGTGAGAGGGTAACAATTATCATTAATGGTGTTGGGTACATCACTTTGGACTCTTTCATTACCTACTTTTGGGTCTTCCGTTACCCAAAATTCATTACCTACTCGATTGGGCACTTTCACTTCCGTTATCCATCAATCATCATAATAAAAAAACAAAAATAAAAACAAAAAAAACCAAAAATCAGGAAAGCAAGAGAACAATAGCTGCCTCCAGCTTCTCTCATCTTTCCTCCAACTCTCCTACCTCCTCACTTCCCCCTTTTTGTTTCATCCCAAGATCTCTCCTCTCCTTTTTCTCCCTCTTTATCCCATGAAATTTTTCCTCCTTTTCTCTCTCACAAAAAAAAAGTCTTCGTGTGATGAGATTTTTTTTTTTTTTTTTTTACTTTCAGTAAGAATTTTGAAGTCAAAATTTGTTGAAATAGTGTGCAATGCTGGGATTATGGTGGAGGCGGTGAGAGATGGCCGTGCTGTGGTGGCAGTGGCAAAGGGATAAAGAGAACCACCAAAACCCAAAACAAAAAAAAAAAGGAAGAAAGAAAAGGAAAGCAAACATGGGAGATCTGCCAGCAACATGCAAGAAATCAAAGGAAAGGAAGCAAAATAAAAAAAAAAAATGGTGGAAGGAGGAGCCGGGAGGTGACGGTAGGAGCTGCTGGAGATGAAGAGAAAGGAGCAAAGAAAAGATAACAATTTTCCTTCTTCCTTTTTACTATGAAAAGTCATTGTCATTATGGTGACTACCAAACACAAGATTTCATCAAAAGAAATCTTGACGAATTCATCATCATTGAGGGGTCTTCTATAGTGATTGCCATTGCCATTACTTAGTAGCAACCAAACGGGTAGTAAATATGATGGAAGTAACAAACTAATGCGCGTGATGCACATACTCTCATACTTGATGAAATTTTGTAAGGAGACGTTTCATTTTTGTAATTTCTGCTGCATTGAAGTACAATGAATATACCTATGGGATGAAGGGTATGTTAGCCCAACTAATGAAAATTAGGAATTTTTTTTTGTAACATTTAAAATTACCAAGATTTATGATATTTTTTTAGAGAGAGTACAGATCAATTGTTTAATACAACTAATATATTCAACTAATCATGCAAACCTAGCTTTGTTATTTTTCAATTGTCCCTAAATGCTTTAGGTGCATCAACCCTAAATTTTTATAGTTGACGTTGTTTTATAAAATCAAAGGTAACAGACAGTAACAACTGCATTCAGAAGCTAGACAGTAATAATTAGAGATTTTCGTATTAAATTCACGCATCCTAGTATCTTAGGTTAGATACACAAAACCACAAAACTGACCATTCGATGTATATATGATAAGCACTAGAAAACCACCATCACAACAGGATGTTTACATACAGAGAGAATCTTATACATTGGAATAAACCAGAAAAAACAAGAACAAAGAAAAAAGAGGAAAAAACAGCATAAAAACTGTCCTTAGACATCAAATCAATTGACACAAATTAAGCATAATAGAACTAATCTCAGCCAGTGGTGGAAAAAGGATATGGACATGGGGGCACCGTAACTTCCGCAATTCCTTCGAGCATCAGGCTCACCTTCCTCATTGTAGGCCTAAGAGATGAGTTTTCTTGAATACACCAAATACCAACCATCACAAATCTCTCTAGCACCATCATATCGTTTAGAGCTTCTAAATCATTTTCCACAAAAGCATCCAACCTTCCTTCTTGGAAGCAGTCCCAAGCCCAATCAGTCAAAATAAAAAATTCTGCATGACCAATTTCAATGTCCTCCACACATTTGCGGCAAGAAATGATCTCTAGTAACAAGACACCAAAACTATAAACATCAACCTTAGAATTAACTTGAGTACTTCTGAACCATTCAGGAGCTACGTAGCCTTTCGTTCCTCGGATATTTCCAGTGATAGATCGACTCTGATTAATCATCAAGAGTTTTGCCAATCCAAAGTCAGAAATGCGAGCATTGAAGTACTCATCAAGGAGTATATTTTGAGGCTTTATGTCACAATGGATAATCTGAGTACTACATTCTTCATGAAGGTATACCAGCCCCCTTGCAATCCCAATAGCAATCTGAGTCCTTATACTCCAACTAGTTTTGGGATTATTTAACAGCAATCTTGCGAGAGTGCCATGGCTCATATATTCATACACCAATAGACGATGTTGTCCTTCATCACAGAATCCAAGCAGGCCGACCAAATTCTTGTGGTTAGTCTGGCCTATTGTTTCCACTTCAGCACGAAATTCCTTGTCAGCTTCTTGATCCATTCTGTATAACTTTTTCACCGCAACAGTAGTGTTTTTGGATCTGATTTGCAAGTCACCTTTATAAACAGTACCAAAAGATCCCCTGCCCAACTCTTCATTGAATTCATTTGTAGCTTCTGCAAGCTCTTTGTACGCAAAATAACGCAAATTTGTATTCAGTGCACCAGTATTTGGATGAGTTATTACCTTCTTTTTGTAGTATATGAAGTAAAAGCCCAAACAAGCAGTGGCAACGAACACCAAAAAAGAGCTTCCGAGAAGCACAGACCCAACAAGTATCACAGTTCCTCGGTTTTTTGGCTTTGAACCTGCCAGAACTGGAGGAAAAGTTTGAAGTACAGGAGGAGCATCCCTTTTGCGATATTTGATGAAAGCTTTTGACTGAAGGCTAGTGTCCACTCTCCCATTAGAAAGTGGCAGCTTCTTCTTCCAGCAACTGTTGTCTCTGAAAATGGCCACAGCACAGAAACAGTCCTGCAAACAAGCTTCCCCACAAATAGTTTCATTTGAAGGATTTATTTGCTCGAAGTCAGACAGTGGCCAATCTATGTCACTCGCCACCACAAAATCATAAAGGTTTTCTGCGGAGCCCTCCTCTACTTCATCGCAGACAAGAGAAGAGTTTGGCTTGCAGCTCCCGTACTTGTCATTTGTATCAAGCAATACATACCCTTCTGGACACGCACAAACCGGTCTTCGAAGTTCGAGGTG